ACATGCTAACCGCCAGCACGTCCACGTTCTGGTACTTCACTCTGGCAGCGAGGGCGCGGCCAGGTGCACCCGCGGGGCTCGCCCACGTCCGCTTGACAGCAGAGCGGGGAGCCCGAGGCGGGATCCCGATCGCGACGCCGCACGACGGGTTGCTGAAGGGAGCAGGTCGTCGCCCTCCCTCGCAAGGAGCCTCCAGCACCAGTCTGCCACCAGCACGACGGCTATGCACCTGTCCCTCTGCGTTGGAGCACGCTGTCTTGGTGCCCGCCAGCTGCACAAAATCGAAGTTGTGGCACTCGTCCATGATCTCTTCCAATCGGTCTGGGCGACTGGCCCAACACGGATTCCAGCCAAGGCAGCGCAGGTGCTGCGGGGCCGCGCCGTCATGGGCGCTCGCGGCCTGGCTGGCTGCATCCATCTGCCTCTGCCGTCGCGGCGAAGGCGCCCGAATGCGAATTTTCTGTTCGGGTGCGATACATGCCTGCTGCTGAATCTCCTCGAACCTGCAGGCTATGATGACGACGACGACGATGATGATGATGATGGTGGTGGTGGTGATGGTGATGATGCTGATGATGATGATGCTGCTGCTGATGATGATGATGATGATGATGATGATGATGATGATGATGATGATGATGGTGGTGGTGGTGATGATGGTGGTGGTGGTGATGCTGGTGATGATGGTGATCATGATGACGCCTTCAGAAAATGTTGTGAGAATGTCTCGGGCGAGGCGCAGGCTTCAGCACTCCAGGGGGGAGGGGGTCCGGCAGGGGGGTACGACACGGTCCCGTTCGCGCCCAAGTTGTGGGGATGATTCAGGCGGTTTGTTTGCTTGGTTGCCCTCGATTTTTCGCGTTTGGAGCAGATGTTGAGGATGTCTCAGGCGAGGCGCTGGTTTCAGCATTCCCACGAGTGTGCGGCAGGGGTATAGCAGTTAATGAGGAAGGTTCAGACGAGGCGAGGGTTTCAGCACTCCCGGGAGACTCCAGGAGGCCACATGAGGCCCCAGGAAGCTCCAGGAGGCAAAAGGAAGGCTCAGGAAGCCCCTAGAGGCTCCACGAGGCCTCAGGAAGCACCAGAAGACACCAGGAGGCTCCAGGAACCTCAAAAATCCCCAGGATGCCCGAGGAAGCCCCCTTCTAGTGGGGCTCGACTCCTGTGTGTGTTAACAGATGTTCATATAGTGCCCCTCTCCTAAATGGTTTAAGTATGTTCTTGTAGATTGCCCCTCTCCTGGTGCTCGAGTATTGTGTGTGTTGTGTGTTGTGTGTTGTGTGTTGTGTGTTGTGTGTTGTGTGTTGTGTGTTGTGTGTTGTGTGTTGTGGGTTGTGGGTTGTGGGTTGTGTGTTGTGTGTTGTGTGTTGTTGTGTTGTGTTGTGTTGTGTTGTGTTGTGTTGTGTTGTGTTGTGTTGTGTTGTGTTGTGTTGTGTGTTGTGTGTTGTGTGTTGTGTGTTGTGTGTTGTGTGTTGTGTGTTGTGTGTTGTGTGTTGTGTGTTGTGTGTGTGTTGTGTGTTGTGTGTTGTGTGTTGTGTGTTGTGTGTTGTGTGTTGTGTGTTGTGTGTTGTGTGTTGTGTGTTGTGTGTTGTGTGTTGTGTGTTGTGTGTTGTGTGTTGTGTGTTGTGTGTTGTGTGTTGTGTGTTGTGTG